GTCAGGGACATGGATGGAGCCCGGGGTCCTTTCATGGAGAGCTGTGTGTGCAGGAGGCTGATTTTCTTTGACATTTCATTCTACCTGTGCGTAGTAGGCAGGGGATTCTCTCACACCTTCCCCTTTGGCCCCTGTATCTCTCTGAAAGGGATGTTTCTATGTAGGTCATGGTCAGCATATTGTTCTTTATGGTTTGTGGAAATTCAGACCCAGAGCAGCAGGAGGCAGGACTCAGCACTACACTGACAGAGACACCAGGGGAGTTAAAAGAAACAAACGTTTTTAAAATGCACAAAATGTCTAGACACAGTGGACAGCACTTCACGGGGACATTCAGTTCACTTGGGGAGGATTTTTGAGCAAGCCACAGGGGCTAGACTCACCTATTGAAAGGGAAGCTTAGGGCTTGTCTACACATGAATCAAACTCAGCAATCCAATGGAGAAACACACATATAAGCCCATGTTCACCAAGGCCACCAGGAGTCTGCCTCCAAACAGATCTTCCACTGCCAGTCCCTTCTGGTTCATAACAACAGGCACCTACCAGATACTCCCGGCTATTCCCTTCTCCAGTCACTTTCAATCCCAGCAGTTTTTCTCTCTCTTCCCTCAGAGTCTTCAAATGGGCCTGGATTCTTTCCTGAAGAAACAGAAATGATTTGCGAGGTTTCATCTGGATAGTTGAGAGGTATTTGGAAGTGGGTGTTTTTCCACCCAAAACCCAAGATGACTGTGGTTCTAATCACTTTGAGACATCAGGATCACCAAGGATATGAAACCTCATTAATGGAGACTGGGAGCATGTGACATTCAGACTCATTACCAATTCTGGTTCAGTTTTTTTAGTAATTAGAGATCTCAATTATAAGCAAGCTTTACTGGTCTTTGTGAATTGATTAGTGGTACAGAGCATAACAGGGCACGAAAATCACATGGGGGTGAATCAATAACCCTGTTTTGTAGGAGGTTTAACAAACAAAGTGATACAAATCCCAGAAGGCACTAGGGTTTCAATATGGGCTGGGATTTCAGCCCTGAAGCCCTGAGGACTGCACTGGTTGGGCAGAGCTGGTCTAAGCACCAGGGCAAACCCCCTGAGATGCCTGGAGGCCATAATTCTGGTTTGAAGCTGCACAGTCCCTGGGTTGTGGAGCACTATCCCTATCCGGTAGGGACCCAGCACTGGACGTGGCTTTGTCTGGTGCAAAAGGGAGAGGAGGAGACTGAAGATGCAGGAGGGTACACCGGTGGGAGTGGGGGGTGACAACTTCGTACAGAATGATGCACGTGGGTGGCACACTGAAAAAAACAGTGATGGGGCCCACACAGGGTGACTGATACTGGTGAGGACGGGCCCATGCAGGCAGGCGTGGGCATGTCTGATGTTCTGAGGATGCCTCAGTGACCACCCTAATTAGACATGATTCAGATTTGTATAAAGAACGGGTTGGGGTTTGCCCTACTACTGTCCTAAAGCCTTTCTCGGGAAATGCCCCCTGGGCAGATTCCCCACAGTTCCATTTCCTGGTAAAGATCCCAGAAGCAGTGAATTCTGGGAGATTTCAAAAGGCTGCAGGTGGGACTAATGGAACCACTTCGGCTGGTCCTTGCCCACATACACAAAAGAGCAGGTCAAACTGGCACGGGTCAGCACCAGCCTGTGGTTGGTTTTGCTACAACCCAGTGTAATCCCAGTGGTACTTGGCATGGACCTGAGCTGTCTGGAGCCCTTTTGTGAGTGGACTGAAGGTTCTCAGGGTTCCACAAACTGTTTAGCCCAGTGATCTCCTCTACTGCAGGCCGGCAGCATCTGAGTTTAATCCCTCATGGAGCGACACGGGAGTTCAGAATCCCAGTGAGAAACCTCCTCTCCCTGCTTGGCCTGGGACCTTTATCAAGGTGTCTCTCCCTCCTAACATAAACACTTCATCACTGGGTGGGGCTGATACTCAGCTGTCAGCATGGCAAAGTGTTTCGGGTCTTGGACTGGGTCTGGGGAGATCTAGGTTCTATGCTAAGCTCTGTCACTGACATGCTGGGTGACTGTGGGAAACTTGCTGCCCTGTTTTATGCCTTAGTTTCCCTTCCCATCTTTTATCTAGCTAGACCAGTGGTCATCTACCAGTTGATTGCAATCTACTAGTCAATCCTGGAGATTCTCCCAGTCGATCGCGATCTACGGCCCTGCCTGCCCCAGCCGTACGGCACTCCCAGAAGTGGCCAGCATGCCCCCTCAGCCTGGGGTGAGGCCAGGGTTCTCTTCACGTTGCTCCTGCCTGCAAGCACCACCCCCGCAGCTCCCATTGGCCAGAAATGGGGAACTGTGGCCAGTGGGAGCTGCGAGAGTGGTTCCTGCAGAGAGGGGCAATGCGCAGAGCCACATGCCCACCACAGGGGCTCATTGGCCCCTTCCAGGAGTGGCATAGGGTTGGGACAGCCAAGGAGCCTGCCTTAGCACCGCTGCACTGCCGCCCAGGACCCGCCCGAGGTAAGTCAGTGCCGCCCAGCTGGAGCCAGCATCCCATACCCCCTCCTGTACCCTAACCTGCTGCCCCAGCCCTGACCCTCCTCTCAGAGCCAGCACCCTGTACCCTTTTTGCACCCCAACACTCTGCCCCAAGATCAGCCCAGAGCCCCCTCCCAGACTGCAAACCCCTCGGCCCCAGCCCAGAGCCCACACCCCCACCTGAATCCCAACCTCCTGCCACAGACTGGTGAAAGTGAATGAGGGTGGGGAAGAGCAAGCAATGGAGCAGGGGTATGGAGTGAGCGGAGCTTCCGGGGGGTGTAGATCCTGCTTTCAAGATTTGATATTTTGCCTCTGTTGCCACTCTGCCAGATCATTAATTTTCTTAAGACTTTACAGAGCTGAGTGATGAGTCACACCCGTGACAGGCAACTTTCAGTGAAATTAGCCTGTAATTAAACCCCCAAAGTTAACCCATTACATTTGACAGCAGTTCCCTACCTTGGACTCCTGGGCAGCCTCCTCTATGGGAACCACCGTGTGAGTGCGGTGAGCCCGGGATCTGTCGCACACCACACAGATGGGGGTTTGATCCTCTTCACAGAACAGTTTCAGAGTCTCCTGGTGTTCCCCACACACCCCGTCCCCTCCTGCTTCCTTTGCTGCTTGTAAACTCAGCCGCTTGGTGATTTCTGTGACATTTGCCAACTACCTGTTGGGCCTGAGGTTCCCCTGTTGCACAGTTTCTCCGCACTGAGGGCAGGAGGCGGCTGTATCGGATCCCTCCCAGCACTGGCTGATGCAGGCTCGGCAGAAATTGTGCCCACACTCCAGAGTGACAGGTTCTGTGAAATATTCGAGACAGACGGGACATGTAGCTTCTTCCTGGAGACTTTCCACGGGGTTCTCTGCAGCCATGGCTCCCTCTGGGCAGTGGAACAGGGTTAGTTTCAGTTTCCTGAATTCACACTATGCCCCTCCAGCAGCAGCAAGGGGGTGTTTCCTTTCCTGAAACTGACTCCTGTTGTTTGAAGAGAAGGAATGACCCAACCAATTTCACTCCTTGAGGCTTTAGTGAAAAAATATACAGTCACACCTGTGACAGGTAACTTTCAGTGAAATTAGCCTGTAATTAAAACCCAAACGAGCTCCTTGCCTACAATCAGCCCCTGTGCTGGTGTAGAGGGTCACTGAGGCATCCTCCTGTGAGGATGAGCCTGGAGGAGTTGTGTGTTTAAGGCGGAATAGTCAGGCTTGGCAGAATTTTTTTTTATAATATATAATTTTGACAGATAATGTTTATTTTAAGCAATTTTTATATTTATTGATTTAAACTTTCACAGTTGCAGAACAATCTGGGTTTTAAGCATTTCATTCCAATTAAAATTTTCACGGTTGTGGGAAATTATGGGGGATCAGCCAATATTTTGGTCAGACCAGAACTACACCGCTACCTCGATATAACGCCACCGGCTATAACACGAATTTGGATATAACGTGGTAAAGCAGTGCTCCGGGGGGGGGGGGGGGAGGGCTGCGCACTCCAGTGGATCAAACAAGTTCAATATAACACGGTTTCACCTATAACGCGGTAAGATTTTTTGTCTCCCAAGGACAGCGTTATATCGGGGTAGAGGTGTATTTAATGACACTAGACACTGATATTCAAAAAGTTGAAGCTTTAGAAGTGTTAAAATTGTTTGTGAGCAGGTAAATCTCCTCCCTCCCCCAGCAGCTCCCCCAGGGCAATAACCCAATGCCTCCCCCACCACCAGGAGCGGCTCTAGGCACCAACTAAACAAGCAGGTGCCTAGGGTGGCAAAATGTATGGGGTGGCAAAACGCTGGGGCCCCACCTCAAGCAGCATCCTGGGCTGGATCCTGACCACCCCGGGGGGCGGTAACCAGCCTGTTCTGCCGCAGGGTGCGGCGAGGCAGGGAGCCGACTAAGTGGGGAGCGTGTCCCCGCTGCTCTCCC